CCGGGTCCCCTCACATGGCTGGGAGGCTCCTGCGCCTGCCAAGCTCCCCGGCCCCTCCGAGGGTGCAGGGTGTTCAGCCTTGGCTGTCAGTTTGCAGCTGGAATGGAGACTTCGAGCCAGCTTTCTCTTTTAACAAATCCCCGAAGAGCATTTGTGCCCCATCCCTCCAGTTCCTGCTGTTTGGAGGGAACTGGCAGGGTTGGACAGCGCAGCTTTTGCAGATATACAAGTCCTACAGAAAAAAATCCTACTGTTCAAGGACCTCACCCCCATCCCCCGAAATGTGCTGTTTTCATTAAAGCAGTGAAATCAGATTTCAAAAAACCCAGGCTTTGGACAGTGGCCCTTGATTTGGGCCTGATGAACAAGATCCAGAAGCAAAACAAAGGCTGTTTCCACAATGGTTGAAGGGAAAGGGAACCGGTCCAATTGCAAAACTTGGATCCTGGCACTGAGGGAGTCTTTGTGTGCGAGACCTGTGGCAATGGATGGCAGTGACTTTGGGAAATTCAATACTCGCCTAGCTCATAAACAGAAAACAAGGAAAATAAACTTGGGCAGATGGGAGGAAGCGCAGAGCCAAGCCGTTGATTTCTGCTGGGCTGGAAAGCAGCCTGGCTGTCCCCGGCCGCGGGTCCTGAGCTCCACAGCTACCGAGGCCGTGTCAGGGTGCTCGGGGTCACAGTGGCGGGCACTGGGCACCGAGCTCTGGGCACCGAGCTCTGGGCACCGAGCACTGGGAACTGAGCTCTGGGCTGTGCAGCTGCGGGAGGCAGCAGCCACCCCTCCACCGCGGGCACCGGCTGGGAGGAGAGGCCACGGGGAGCCGGGGCAGGAGGGGCACGGCGCAGAAGCGGCAGGGTGGGAACCCCTGCACCGCCAGACAGGAGCAGGGAGGTGCCGGTGCTGGTGCCCACCGCAGCTCGCCCCGGGGCGCGGTGGAGGCGATGGCGGCAGATTGCCTTGTGTCATTCCTTGTGGAAGCTGGAAACGCTTGGCCGCGGCGGTGACAGGGGTGGGATAACCACTTGAATAGAAAAGAAGATTCTCTGCCAGCCTCCTCCCGGAGCGCACTGGTGCGTGGTGGTGCCGCTGGATCCCTCATGCAAACCCTCTGGTTGTGCAACGTCCCGGGGCAGCTCCTCGTCTCGGCGGTTTCACCTCCTCCTGCCCGGTCCCGGCCCTTGGGCGGAGGAGGGCCGGGATCCGTGCTCAGTGCCCGGGGCTGGAAGTGGAGCCTTTTTGGCTCACACCACTCCCCGGGAACGCCGTGTGGAAGGGGAGCTGCCCCTCGGCGCACGCCAGGTGAGGACGTGATGGCTGAGGATGTGACGGGAGCAGGGAAGGGCTGCGGAGAGATGAGGGCAGCAGTTAAACGTTCAGTGAAAGAAATTACTTTTGAAAAATCTTTTGAGAAACAGAGACGATGACTCCATACAGCCTCAAATCTGCTGCCAGACGATGCCGCCTAGTTCAAAAACCCAAGAGCTAACTGTTCCCTCTTGGCCACAGACAAGAGGAATCGGTATTTAGACCGTTTATGGGCCACAGAAGGTCAGCGGAGATATGAAATCTGTGGATTCATTGAATTCCCTCAGTACCACAACCCCACATTTGCAACTACAGATTCATGGAGCTCAGCATCCCTCCTGCCACTGAGCACTGCCTGTAACCCTGCTGCGTGCACAGCCCTGGAGCTGAGCTGGCTGCCCCACGCCAGGCACTGGCCTTGGGTGCACCCCAGAGGGACAGCATGACACAAGAGCTTCCCCAAAATCTGGTACAGGGATGCTGGATTGTCCCAAGTCACCCAGCTGCCTCCACAGGAGCAGTGTGTGTGTGTAGGAAAACCTGCAGAATCTTTATGATAAATTGTCTTTCTTTTGGCTTGGGAAGAGAAGCATCTTCCTCCCCTCAATTTGTGCAATTATACTTGGTTATTTCATGTTTTAAACTCCTGGCTCATAACAGAAAACAACCAAGAGGGGAGCAACACAGCTGAGCTGTGCACACTGGGACGTGGTGCCAACGCCTGAGACACTGGCCCACCATCACCAAACCAAGGGAGCAGGGTCCAAGCAGTGCTGGCACCACTGTCCCGACCCCAGCCTTCTCCTGTTGGTGTTTGCAGCACTGGGGCCAAGGGGCAGGACCCAGCCAGCCCAGGGCTCTGACTGTCCCTGACATGATGAGAAGCTTTTGCCTGTTCAAACCAGCACAGCCGGCTTAAAGAAATCCAAGCCAGCCACCTACTGCTGCTCCTTGGAAATTCAGAGCAGCATCGTGTCTGACCTTCCTTTCTGACACAGAATCACAGGAGAAATACTAGGGATAAAATACAGTGGATACTTCGTTGGAGAAAAAACCATCATAAATCAGTATGGGAAGTACACTTGAATTTTAGAGGAATATGTCAGATACACTGGCCAGCCATTAAATTTCACAAGGTCAGTTTAAGAACTTCAGGAGATTGCTGGCTTTGCCTGAAACGGAGAAGAAAATTATAAACATATGCAGGGGGCTCCGAGTGAGACACAGGAATCTGGAGGATAATCCTTATCACTATCCAGGATATAACCAAATAGCCACAATAAAGAATTCCATTCACCTGCCTGGAGAATGACTGACCATAACATCTAATGCCAGCCTAATTAAAGACATTTCTTCAGAGCGAGTGGATCAGGAATTTGTCGACTGCCACAGGTTTGCTTCAGCCTTGCCCGGCCCTTCCCCACCCCAGCTGATCTCCTCCCGTGCCACTAGTCTGCAATGTTGCACAGCCCATCCCGCAGCCCAGCAGCCCAGCTCGCTGCCCATCGTGTGCCCGTGCTGAGAGCCCAGGGAGCCACGGTGCCAGGGCACGGGGACACGGGGGCAGCAGTGCCCATCCCTGTGCAGTCAGATCTGGCCTGTGGGGAGAGGGTGTGTGGGGAACAGGGAACATCACTGTGTGGGGCAGCTCTGGGAGGGCAGAGGAGGAGAAGCCATCTGCCAGAGTACGCAGAGGAAGTGAGGAGACAGTCACGGTGCTTTTGGGCATCTCTAGGCATAAAACTGGGCCTTTGGGAAAGCAGAGGGAGGTGAGAACTATGGAGCACAGGACCACACTGACTCCTGGGACACCCTTGTCCTTCAGACGTTCTTACAACACCCTCCTGCTCAGCCTTGGGCTCAGATGATGCTGAATGGCCACTTGGAGCACCAGGACATGGGATGCTCTACCCAGGGAGCACCAGGACGTGGGATGATGTACCAGGGGATCTCCAGGATGGGGGATGATGTACCAGGGGATCTCCAGGATGGGGGATGATGTACCAGGGGATCTCCAGGATGGGGGATGATGTACCAGGGGATCTCCAGGATGGGGGATGATGTACCAGGGGAGCACCAGGATGGGGGATGATGTATCAAGGTAGCTCCAGGACACATGATGATGTACCAGGGGAGCGCCAGGATGCAGCTCTGGAAATGTGCCCAAGAGCCCTGCAGGTCCAAACTCAGTCCTGGGAATAAGGATCTTGATGGAGCAGTGTCATATGGAAGTGAAGCACTGGGAGCTCAGAGAAGTCCCTGTAGACACAGTGGGAAAGCCAAGAGGCACCATCAGCAGGGACTGTGGAGCTGGAAGCCTCTGGATCCAAGGACATTGTTACTATACTTCAGATTATATAAATAACTCGCTGAATAAAACCACATGTGACCACATTCTGTTCTCCATCCCCCTGCTCTGCCGGCAGCGCACAGGCTCTTGCAACACTTGTTTACTGGGGAGACTGTATATAAAGTGAAAATAATTTGCTGGGTCTTATGTTTCCACTTTAATTCTCAGTGTATAAAAAAACCTGTGAATTTGCTAATGGGCTTTGAAAACGTATTTTTAAAGCAAGGGCAGCATGACTCGGTGAGTTGTTACAAAGGATTACAGAAGGAACAAGGTTTGCTAGGAAAATTATTCCCTTGAGAAAATCTGTGACAGTTGAAAGGCCAGAGCCTGCTTCTTTCCAAGAAAATAAACACATTTCTGCATGCAAAATCAAGCTTCATCTCAGGTATGGATTGTTTTCTGGTGTTTATGTGCTTCCCACAGGCTTTGGTGTTCAGTTTGACATGTTTGAAGGCCAAACATACACTCCAGTTCTCTCCCTGAAGGAAGATTCCCTTTGCATCTTTGAAGCACACTTTTGGACAGAGATAAATGGCAATGAGCTTCAGGAGTGTCAGAACCAGATGGTCAATTGACATTCCTTTCTACGTTTCTCTATTTCAACCCCAGAGATGATCTTGCATAAAAAATATTTTTTTTAGCATTAGTTCTGACTTCTCTGGAGCAGGAGAATTTGCAAATGATCTGCTCAGGGGCCACAAACCCTTGGCTCACTCTTTCCTGGTCATTATAACCCACGTGCTTTGGGAGTTTTGTACCCAGGGCCAGTTCAGAGCATTTGATTTGCTGGAGGTTTTTGTTAACAACGTCCTCATCCAGGGGAGCAGCTCCTCTTGTCATTGGAAGTGGGGGAATCAGTGTGAGTCTTGCACTTCTACAGGTAGTGAATTGTTACTCCTTACTCACCTTACCCAGGAGCCTAAACCTCCTGGGGAACAATCCCTGAAATTCTCCACAAACATTTGCCAGTTCTTCCTTCAACAGCCAGGAATACTCTGACAGGTGGGAACGCAATAAGTGGGGATCAGATTTATGATTTTACAATTTAATCTTACAAGGTCTGCTGGGGAAATACCCACATCCTCTTCCATCATTCCTGCAGTCCCTGATTGTCTGTGGGGGCTGAGGGGGCTCTGTCCTTCCCAGTGAGGGGACACGATGCCCACAGCTCTGTGCAGAATTGGGGTTTGGTCATAATAATCCAGCACATCTCCTGCCTCCAGGCAGTTTCACCGTTTCCCCCCTTTCCACAGCCATCTTGGTGTCTCCCCAGCAGTGCGGGGAACACGCTGGATTTTCTGCATCCTGTTAATCAGAACCAGGCACGACTGCTGCCCCTGGGCTGGCGGGAGAGCAGGAGTTAACCCATCCTGCGGGATGAGGCTGTAATTGCCACTAGGCTCCTAAGATGAATGAGCTTTTAAGGACTGCCAACTTCTGAATGGAGGCAGGAGGACCAGCAACAGCACCGACTTAATAACCAGCAGCCAGCGGCAGGAGCACATATGGAGGCAGCGTGGTTCAGCTGGAAATAAACCCCGGAGGTGTCAGGGCAGCGGATAAGGGCTGTGCTGGCAGCGTGGAGGTGGAAAAGATGAAATCTGACTGCTGGGGAAACAACCAAGGCTGCCAGGCTGGACATGCGTGTGAGCCTTGCTTCCCTGCTCCAGCCTGGGGACCGGAGCCCCTGCACGGGGGTGACTCAGAGGCTGCTGGGCTGGGGGGGCGATCCAGGGCTGGGGGGGCAATCCCGGTCTTGGGGGGGCGATCCAGGGCTGGGGGGGCGATCCCGGTCTTGGGGGGGCGATCCAGGGCTGGGGGGGGGGCGATCCTGGGACGGGGGGATGATCCTGGGCTGGGGGGGGCGATCCAGGGCTGGGGGGGCGATCCCGCCGGGGTGGCGATCCTGGGATGGGGGGCGAATCCGGGATGGGGGGGCGATCCTGGATGGGGAATGATCCCGGGGGGGGTGATCGGGCTGGGGAGCGTCCGGCTGGGGCGGCGAATCTCGGGCTGGGGGGCGATCCCGGCTGGGGGGGAGGATCCCGGGTGGGGATGATCCCAGCTGATATCCCGGGCTGGGGGGCGATCTGGCTGGGGGGATGATCCCGGGCTGGGGAGGCGATCCCGGGCTGGGGAGTCGATCTCGGGCTGGGGGGGCGATCCGGGCTGGGGGTGAGCCCGGGCGGGGGAGGCGATCCCGGGCTGGGGAGGCGATCTCGGGCTGGGGGGGCGGAGTCCCCGGGCTGGGGGGATGAGATCCCGGGCTGGGGGGATGATCCCGGGCTGGGGGGGCGATCCCGGGCTGTTGCAAAACAGCTGCCGGCTCTCGGCTCCTGCCAGGATACATCTCTGGCTGGGACTTGGATCCTTTGAACCCAGCTGAGAAGCAGCAGAGAAAACCATCAAATTAGGCACAGGGTTTGACCTCAGAAGACCATGGAGAGGCTGTGTGCCCTGGGACCCCACAGAGCAGCACCTGTGGGGGCTGGGGAGAGACCAAGGGCTGCTCCTGCATGTCATGGGTGGGGTCACCAAGGGGCACCCGCCCTTCCACTGCGCCAGTATCACCACCTCTACACCAGGCCCTGTGGCACAAAGGGGTCCAGGGGACCTGTTGTGGCATTGCCCTGACTCTGAGCAGCTCTTGGAGCTCTTGCACAGCAGCAAACACGTTTAGAACATTGTACCTCACCCTGCAAGCAGCTCCCTGAGCAGAGGCAGCGGGGCTCTTGTGGAGGAGTCACAGCTAAGCTTAAGCATCTGGCTCTGTGCATTCCTATATTGTAATAAAATAAGTCTTCCCACAGATTTCACGTCATCTTTGTCTGGGCATCACTGAACTGTGAAGAGAGGAACTTTTTTGTGGTTTTCCAAGGAACAAAGAGATGATCTGCATCTGGTGAGGTGTCCTGGCAGCCTCCTGCACTCCAAGCCTGTATCTCATGCTAGCCGTGCAGCCCGGTGTCCTGGGACAGCTGCCTGGCACACAGCACCCAAACTGCAGAGCCTGTGATCCCCCAGGCCTGGGGACTGTGAGAGAACCTCACTGCAACCCACAAAGACCAGGAACAGCAGCCCCCAAAGAGAAAGAGGTACCAGGAACACACCTGCAATCTGGATCCCACCTTTTTGGCCCCTGTTCAAATGAACAGGCAACAAAGAACATAAAGCAACTGCTTAAAAACTCACAGTCCCAGTGAAGTCCAGGGAGGACCATTCCCTGTGGCTGACCCAGGCACCCACAGACACAGCCTCAGCACCTCCTGGGGTGGGCACAGGGACAAAAATTGCATTTTCCCTGTAAAGTATGAACCTGCTTGCACAGGTGGCTCAGCAGAGGGAGTGGGCACAGATATCTGTGGGGAATTAACAGAGCAAAACTGAAGCTGGATCGGATCATGCTTTGCATGGAACATGGAGCTGTCTTTGTTCCCCAGGAGCAGCCACGGAACCCTTTGCTCCCACACTCATGTCCCACAGGGTCCTCCCAGCACTGCTGCTGCACCATGACTGCTCTGGTGCTGTTTACTTTTGATCATGGCCTGCTGACAGCTGCCCAAGTGGCCCAGTGGGCTTTCTGGCCACCCAGCATCCTGTGAGGACAAGTGACTCTCTAGCATCAACAAAATTGTGAAGAGAGTCCCCTTCTCCTAAATTGGTCAATGCAGCCTGTAACCCCTCAGCCTGCTGTGTTTATTTGGAGCAGGCATGTTTGAGAGACCCTGAGCTTATTGTGAGTCTCCCACTTAAGCAGAGAAGACACACCCACAGGGCTGTCCAAGGTCAGGGGAACGTTTGGCTGCAGCCACCCCTTGCGGATGATAAATGGCTGATGGGGGAATGCAGTGGGAAATGGGATGGACTTGGCTGTAAATGTGAGCAGAGAAAGTGCATCTGATGGAACCTGAGCATTCAAGGAGGGGAATGCAGCCTCCACTCCCAAGTCTTCTCCTCCCCAGGGGTCCTTGCCCCTGCTCCCTGGTACACTCTTGCCTGTGTCCCCACAGATCAGCACAGGGAGACCCCAGCCATAAATCTTCAGCAGCCATTTTTCAGTGGGACTAGATTACATTTAGGCCATAACTTACCAGTCTGTTTGGGAAAAGGGATTTCATTCCTTTGCTTCTTCTTGTCAGAATGGATTTACTGATCCCAAACATGTTCCTCGCACTTTATTTAGGGCTTATTATGCATTATTTACATTGCTGAGCTGTCACCAGCCTGTCTGCACAGTACAGGCAGGCAGGCAATGCACTTTCCTGCCCTCTTGCTCTCCCTCCAGATGTGGAGCTGGGAGGATAAGGCAGTTAAGAGATCCCTTGTCAGATGCCATTTGCTTTTTGGGGGTTATTCCACTCCATGCAGAGGTCAGGCAGGCTCAGCACAGATGGATATCTTCCCCCAGCTACATTCCCGGGAACAAGGCACCTGGAACAGGCAGTTTTGAGGGAGAGGGTTTGATTTTCTCGTTCAGGGGTGCCAAGGGATGGCTCTTGAGCCCAGAACCTTTGCCTCAGCCTGTACTGGGACAGGAGGTTCTCCAGTGTTGACAGTGCTCACAGGCCACATTTCCTCCCTGGCAGCCCCTGCTGTGCAGTGCTGTGGGATCTGCCTCCCTACCCAGCACCCAGCATGAGGAACAGGCAGAGACCCAGACCCCTCCTCCAGAGCCACTTTCTACCTGAAAGGATCCCATGGCTCCTCCCAGGACTCCAGGAACTGCCCTGCTGATCTCTGGGAGCTCTGAAAGCAAAAGGAACAGTGGGGTTAGATGTCAGATCAGTGATGATCACATGGGAGGGAAAACACAGTTAGGATTTACATTCTGTTCCTTACGAATGCTTTGGCTGATGTACTAAAAGCTGGATGAAGCATAAAAGTGGAATTTATTCAAATTAAATGATTGCAAATGTCATACTGCATTGAGCCAGAAAATTCTCCTACATGCAAAGAGTGGAATTTTCCTGCTTAAAGCATGTGGGTTTTTTACCTGCTACTGCCCGTAGCAGGCCTGTCCTGGACTTCTGATCTCAAAAATAAAGAACAAACAGCACCATCTTGTCGTGGTGCCAGGATGTATCCAGAAAGATTTCAGAAAGGCAATTTTCAATTAAATGGCTGAACACCACGTGAATACCAAAGTTACCTTCAGATGTAACTATAACAGCGGCTGTTACTGTTCTTAGGCTCAGAACCACTCACTCAGGAAAGGAAAGGGGCATCAGGCTGGTGATTAGGGGGTGCTGACCCCAGTGGGCCTCAAAAGGAACAGGTTAAAGAGGGGAGGATCTCCCTCCAAAAGGCAGACTCCTTTGAGGCTTTTTGAGTGAGGACCCCAGATAAGAGACCCCAGAGCCTCAGGACCCATGAGGAGGTGACATGTGTAGGATGTCCTCTGTCCCTGGGCAGAGGTGACAATCCTCATCCCTGCTCCTCCTTGGCCAAGGTCCTCTCCAGCCCCGGGGAACACTCTCAGGAACCAGCTCTTCTTTTGGGGAACTCGTGGAGCAGAGATCAGAGCTCAGCACCCAGAGCAGAGCTTCCCGCTGGGGCTGGGCCCCCCATCCTTACCTGCTTGTTTTAGCCCATGACTGCCTGACTCCAGACAACTGGATTATCTTTCTACCTGCTGTTAAACACACACCAAAGTCCGGCGTGTCCCGGGGCTGCGCGTGCTGGGGGGCCGGGCTGGGGCTCTCACGGACACGGGGGCACCCCCAGCTTTCATCACATGTGCCGGAACACGCAGGGCCTGCTGAAAACAACGGCTTGTAAATGCAAAGCCCCATCTCCAGTTACTGCTCCCCTGCATCAGCCCGTCCCCTGCTCTCCGTGAGATATGTTCCAAATGATAGCATTTGTCTTTAATAAATGGGCACGACATAAACTGGCTCCTATGGGAAACCTGGGGGTTGTAAGTAAAACCTGATGTTTCCATTTCATTATAATGCATTTGCTCAGAGATGAATTCCAATCCATTCCCTGTTTAATATCAGCCGAAGGTGTGCAGTGGGTTTGTATTGCTATTTATGAAACTCATATCGCTGGGTTTAATCTGTTTCAGATTCCCCAGCTGTCTCTGCGTCTGTATCAGCTTGACCTGAAACAAGGATGTTCTTCTGCTGGAGTCACTGATATCACCAACATTCAGGGAGGATAAGGGGCAAAGCTCCTTCCATGGCTACAGAATATCTGACTGTAGATACAAGGTTCTTATCCAAATGTTTCCTTACGATATCTCCTGGGATGCTTCCTTTTAAGGCCAAATTTGTCTGTATTGGTCCCTACTCTAGAAAGGAATTTGAGGTGCAGAACCAGTTCTGATGTCAGAGCAGCATTGCTGCCACACTCCTGCACATGCTGTACACCTGAGGAACACAGCAGGCTGCAGCACTCGGCGTCCTGGGCCTTCTTGTGTGCCCCTTGTACGCCCCTGGCCTTAAACACACTGATCTGTGTGCACAGCTTGGACCTTGACATGCTTCAGCAGAGAAACGCTTCACAGGTCAGTGATTATTTCTCAGCCACTCGACAGACACCCATCACATCACGGAGCACAGAACCCACCCAGAGGATAACAAAACAGCACAGGGAGGAGCATCTGTGCTTGGTTCAAACAGATGGAAACCATGCACTGAGCGATCCCTCGAGTCCAGGGCTTGTGTCTCACCCATCCATCATGTCCTGGTGCTGCATCGCTCAGGCATTTCTGACAAAAGTGATGAGATAATCTCTGCCCTGTGGGAGCTGCTCTGCTGGTATGTCCTGTGACAGGAGAGGGGAAGCAGAGCGCTGCCTCCTCCCCTGCTCATCTTTGCAGAGATCCCTGTTCTGACTCAGCCTCAGTAGGGAATGCAAGTCCCTCAAATAACCTCCAAAGATTTGGAAATCAGGCTCAGGGAGGCACCATCAGTTTGTGTCACTGCTGGAGAGGAAAGGTATTACCTGAAGTTGCACAGAGTCATGAACAACTGGATGAGAAGAAATACATATTGCAGCTGGATTTCTCTGCTCCCCCTTAAAAAACCACCACCACAGAGAGTAAATGACTGAAACCATAGAGCCATTAGCTAAACTCTCCAGCCTCAAAGCTGTCCCACTTGGGAAGGTCTGGACAGGACAGCTGCCTGTGGGGACCCTGCCACACGTTGACTCATGAGTTGGCTGCCTTCATGAACCCTACTGAGAACCTGAGTTTAGTTCGTAGCAAATGTCCTCTGGGGATGGAAAAAATAAAAATTAAAAAAAAAAAAAGAGAGAGACTGACCCATTTGAGTTCCATCTGTTGGGGTTTATAATGTTCTCCTTATAATTGCCAACAGACAATGTGAATTGCAATTAGCTAATTGCTTGCTAACTTTCCGTTCTAATAATAGTCATGTTCCAGTGTTATACAAGCTTGGAGGCTGCTGCTGTTCCCTTGCAACTGGCAATAATAAATAATATCGTATTCCCTCAGCTTTGCCATTTCTTCCAAGTTTCATCCCCATGCAAATTGCTCCAGCATGTCCTAATCCCTGACGAGATGGCAGAGGCATCGACAGCATTTATTTGCAGTTCCCTGCACTGGGAGGGTTCGACACTTGCACGAGGATGTGGCACCAGGAAGCTGTGACTCCCGTGTGCCATTTGTCCCCACTGCAGGGCCAGGAGGTGCCTCTCCTCATGGCAGGGCAGCAGGACCAGGATCTGCACCCCTGGAAATCCAATCCCTCCCATCAGAATGTGCATGGTTACAGCTCTTTGGAAGTTTTGGCTTTTGTTTGGCTTTTCACTTTCCCTCTGCAGAATCAGATGTGGCCCTGGCCCCTGTAGTGACATATTTCATTACCAGTAGCTTCAATAATGTCAGCACAGACCCAAACTGGAGCTTTCAGGAACACACTCTCCAGCAGTAGAACAAGCTGCACAGTGTCACTGCTGCAGTGATAAGGGGGAACTGGACCTTGACAGGGCTCCTGGGGGGCACAGGGGTCCAGTTGGGTGCTGAGGCCTGGCATCCCCAGGATGGGAGCATGGAGAGCTCCCTTCCACATGGGTGAACTTTTCGGCACCCCCTCTGCAGGCTGTCTGACCTCCAGCTCATTACTGCCGTGCAGATGCAGCTAATTGAGGAGCAGAGCAGCAGCCTGATCCAGTGAAGTCAGGGCCAATGAAATGAGCAACATCATTCCCTGGCGCATGAGGAACTACTGAACAAGGAGCTGCCAGCAGCTGACATCTCCAGAGCTTACAGACTAATCTCATTAAACTCAACCAAAAAGCCTTTCAGAGCTGGGGGAGCCACGTCCAGCAAAAGCTGGGCTGGATTATTCACCTCAGGGGTTTTTCCACACGCCTGGTTCCCTGTCACTCCACCCCACGGGCAGGGGAGTGTGGGCCCCAGCTGCAAAGCAGCCCAGGATGGGGGGTATCTGCCCAAACCCCACTGCTCCAGGGCTCAGCCTACAAGGGCTCCTGGCTCCCCATATGGGACTTGCACAGAGGGCAGCAGGGGCTCTTGCTCAGGTTCTTCATGAGCAGAACTTTCTGTCACTGCCTCAGGTGCTCTCCCAGCCCCTGCTCCCGTGGGCTCCTCAGCTCCAAAGCTGCTTCAGGCTGTTTGTCCTTTGGGCACTACAATCCCAACTTTTCTGCCCCTGACTTCTCCCCTCCCCTGCTCCTGTTTTCTGACTCACAGGTAGATATATGAAGTTTAAAAGCACTCTGAGCAAGCCACACTCCATAGCCCTGTCTTTCCACTCTCACAACCTGCTCTCACCCCTCCCCCAGGGCTTGGGCAGAGGTATCAGAACTGTACCATGAAAGGGAATTCTCCTTGGCAAAGCCACACCAAGACCTCTCCCTTGCTTTACTCAGCAACTGGAGATGGCTGTCCCCTCCCCACAGCTCAGGTGCACAGGGCAGGAGGAGGCTGCTCTTGCTCAAACCAAGGAGCAGGACATGAGGAGCTGGAGGAATCCAGCCAAAGGAACAGCTTTGCTCACTTCTGCTTTGGCTTCCTCTGTGAACGTGTTCTCTCAGCGCTGGTTGATGGGTTTCAGACTGAGGGAATGTTGGGAAATTAATGGGAGAATTCTGCGGCACACTGCATGAGGTGCCAAGGACCGGTGGTGATGCACAGCAGCTGGCAGAGCCCTGGTGTGCCCCTCACCTGGGCTGCCCCCACGGGACCTGCACACCCACGGCCACTGGTGCAGCTCCTCTGCTCACGCCAGCACCTGCTGCTCCACACCCACAGTGTGGCACTGGCTGGGCCGTGCCAACGGGACAGGTGGAGGGTTTGTGGCAGAAGCCACTCAGGGCAGGGGACGGGGTGGCAGAAAAGCTGCCAGGGCCTGGCAACTGCCAGCACAGTTTGTCCCCAGGGCTACTGGCACACAGCAGAGGATGGCCATGGCACGGGGAGGGTGAGGTGCCACTTGGACACGCTGTGTCCAGGGGAGTGGCCCTTCTGCTACCCCTGTACGAGTCACTGCCAGGTGCTCTTGGACATAAGGCTGTGAGGTTTGACCAGCTTGAATTCACCTCCCAACCTCAGGAGAGCAGAGCAAAGGTCTCGTTGGGCTCAGTGTGGGGCTCAGGCTGGTCCCCAGCTGACAAGTGGCCATGGACTACACACAAAAATGCTCTAAAGCTGACAGCACCAAATGTTTCTTCTCCACCTAAAACAGTTGTTTGGGATCCAGTTAGGAACAAAACTGCATCTTGTAGGTTTTAATAAAGCTTTTGGCAAACAGTTCAAACACTGTGGGGGGAAGAAGAAGAGAGAGGTTGAATTTATGGGAGCGGGAGGAGATCATTTGCTTTCTTAGGAATTGGAAAAGATTAATAGTGTGCAAAGGCTCTTGGATTCATTCCTCACATAGCAGAATGATTAGGAGACTTACTGGCTTGATGTTCTTCATTCTGCCTTCCCCAGGTGGCTTAGAGACTGTCTGGGCTGCAGAGAAAACGACCAGGGAGAACAGAGAGACATCCCACATCAGCCCCAGGGAGGAGGTGGCTGTGGCATGCTGGGGGATGGAGGAGCATTGAATCACACAGATGGCTTTGCTGGGAAATTAAATGGGTGCTTAATATTTCTTTAAATGCTGATCTGTGGGAAGGCACCAGCACCTGAGAGGTGGTAGGAGCACAGGTCAACAAGGCAGGTTTGTCCTTCCAGCATATACCCACTCTTGGACCCCGGGGTGCCGACAGCACAGAACTGTTCAGTAACAAGAATCTGAACCTGGAGAAGGTCCTGTCTCTCTCCCACCACCGGCATTTTGCAGTGACCTGGTACTGTGTGAGGTGAATCCTGAAGCAAGGAAAAAAGGAAGGAAAAAGACAGGAATTTCCCAAGTTCTACTGAACAGCCCAAAGGTTCTTTCCAACAGCCAAAACCTGATGCAAGCCTCACTGTGCACAGAGTGCAGGGGAAGGATGAAAAGCCACTGGACGCACATGGGGAACCACAGGACCTGACTTCCAGACAAGTCAGAGGCTGTGCTGGAAAGGCAGACTAGACTGGTTCAGGCACTGCTTCAGTCTTACAAATCTCATTTGGCTCTGGGATGACAGACAGCCCGTGTCCCCAGAGACCTGTGCCAACACAGCCTTTAGTGTGGCCCGAGAGGCTGCAGCAGATCCACCCAACAACCAGGACAGGACACACAGGTCACCTGGAGAGTGTGAGCAACAGGAGCCACTGACCGTGCCCCTGCCTGAAGACAGTCATCTCCCCAAGAACAAAGTAAGCTGGAAACTAGATGAGAGGATGGGCAGAGCCACTTGCTTTCCATTGGTGGTCCCAGTGAGAGTAACACTGGATAGATCTCCCAGTTTCTCCATGCTGCTGTATCGGGGACAGTCCAAGCCAACACCCGGACACTTGGCTGGTACAAGCAGAGCATGCAGTGTTTTCAAGACTCCATAGACATCCCTGGAGCTGTCAGCTATGGAAAATAGGCTTCTGTGCTATTTATGGCCATCTGTTGCGCTCCAGTTCAGGAGTGGAAGACTGCAGTGGTGCTTAAAACATTGCACTGGGAGGCGGCAGCAGCTCTCAGGCAGCCACAATCAGTCTGAGTTTTCAAATAATATTAGGAAATATAATGTTTGCTCTGTCAGAGAATGAATGAGGAACTCGAGCAAAACTGCTAAACATGAAAGTTCCTGGACATCTGGAAAAGATTAGTTAAGGAAGGTGCTCGGGACAGGGAGTTCAGGCGAGTTCAGGAGACACCTACTGCAGATCTGTGTCCACAGGAGGAGGGAGGAGGAGCAAAAGGCTGGGGGGAAAAGCAGGAAGGGAGGATTGAAATAAAATCTCTGCAGGATGGGCAGTGAGAACAGGCTCCATCCTGCAGTGACATGCAGCACAGGCAGTCCTAGAGGGTCTGCAGGGGGTGAAGAGGTCAAGGGCCAGACCACGGTGGCAAAGAGCTGGCCAGGTAACAGCTCCTGCCCAAACCTGCAAGGGCAGACACGGGCACTGTGCTGAGCATGTCCCACCTCGGGAAAGCACATCACTGCTTCCTTGCCACGTGTCCCCACCCACCACACATCCATCGATGAGCAGGTTTTGTCCCTCTTGGAGCTAATCGACAGCTCAATAGGGCAAAGGCTGTGACAAAGTCAAGAGCACCAGAGAAACACTCAAGAGAGCTGGGCATGGGGGACAGAGTGACACACCCAGTTAATGGGCCAGGAGAATGTTTGCTTTATTTCGAAGCAGACAAACACTCAGGCAGCCCCTTGGGCCCTGCAAAGTCACAAAGGAGTTCTGTTTCAGGCCAAGATGAAAGTCTCAAAAATGAAAGTCTCACAAAAACCACAGGGGCTTGTGAAACCCATGCTTGGTTTATTAAATGAATCACAAAGCTTTTTATCACATATTTCTGCCTCCGAGTCACTCTACACTTCAGTTCACGTGCCAAATTCTTTGTCTTTTCCCTAACTGTGGACCCTTGTAGTACACTCTGTTTTGGAATCTGTTTGAAATCCATGAGCTTATGCTGAAGCAGAGCTTTGGGGTTTCTTTTGGAAGCCTGGCATTACTCATAGCAGGTCTCCATTTCTGAGCAGAACTGTGCACAGGCCCTGCTGCAGCAGAAGTCAACGCTCACCCTGTGGGAGGAAACAAACCAACAAGATATAAGTCAGGCGCTCCCTATAAATGTTTGTGGGCCTTCGAATTTAGTAACTGAATATGGTTTGTGCTTCCCCTGTAAGCGAAGAATAACTATTTTCCAATGGAGTTAGCAGGAGGTAAAGCTGAAAATCAAAGTGTGAGCTTTGTGTTTCCTGACAATTTTCCTTTAACAAGGTAGTTCCAGCTGCTAACTGCATTTTATTGCATTCCTCAAAGACAGCTCTCTGTGCAAGAACACTTTGAGAGCTCTGCTCCAAAAATAAAGGTACTTGGAGCTATTTTTATGTTAGGTATATTTTACCAGTTGGTCTCAGAGTCCTTGGTGCTGCCCTTACCCAGAGCCTCACTCGGGTATGGCACGGGCTGGAGCCCCCGGCTCTGTGTTTGGTTCCCAGGCAGCTGGAGCAGCGGGTGCTGCTCTCACTCACCTCCTTCCTGTCCCAAACTCAGGAAGGTGCTGAAATCTGGCACCCAGTGACATCCCTGTGCCACAGGTGTCTCACTCAGCCATGCAGGCTTCCAGGCACGGGAGGAAGAAAAGTGGTCTTTCCACCTGCCTGCTGTCAAGTGCAATGCTGAAAGACTGAATGCCCACCCTGACTGTCTTCTTGGGGGAACCCTCCAACCCCCAGAGACTCCCAGGTGAATGCTGACTGAAGGAAGTCCCACACACATGAAAACCCATGCCCTTGTTAGCAATGGGGACCCTGGCAGCCATCCTGACTGAACATCCGGATTGGAACGGAACGAGCCCACAGCTGATCCCAATTAGAGCACTCTGATGAGGAGACTCACTCCCACCCTTCAGAACACTGCAGACAAATGCAGCTGATGACATGGCCCACCAGCCAGGAACAGCACAGAGCAATCAATCACCCCAAAACTTCAATGAGCACCTCTATCATCCCATTTCAGTCAGTCAGAGTCAGGGCACGGCCACTTTCAGTGCAGAAAGCTCCTTCAGCACTTTTAGCAGGGCTGTTGTTAGCCCAAAGACAGACATCGGGGGCCAAACATCTGGGGGAAGAAGAAGGGCCACCACCGAAGTGTGCTGAACACCTTCCAGAATTTAAATCCATCTGTTCTTTGTGCAGATGTCCTGGACAGAGGCTGACAGAAGAGGGGTGCTGAAGGGCTGTGTAGCGTGTGCACACGTAAAGAAAATTCTGCATCCACGCACACTGTGCTACTGGTTTGTGATGATGATACATCAAGGCCTGAGCAAGGATAACACCCCCAACTCACCTGCAGCCATCAGCCTGTGTAAGGAGCACAAGGCTCCACAGCCAAGCGAGCCCCCAACAGGACCTCCAGCCCCCGCCCTGCCAGGAGCAGAGCCCACCTCACACCCACCCTGGGTAAATGTTGGCTCCCTCAGCCACGACACTCAACTCCAGGAGGGGGACTGTGGTTTTCTTTGCAATTAGAACTGGTGCATGAAGCCCCATCCCATGAAGTCCCTGTCCCTGACAGGGGCACTGGCAGCCCGGCCCTGCAGCCAGCAGCCTCCCTACCTCCACACGCCGCTCCTCCCAGCACCCCGATCTCCTCCTGCACCCCTTGCACCCCGATCTGCCCACGAGCCCTGCAGGCCCCTCTCCCCCAGCACGCCCCTCTCCGCAGGTCGCACAGTGCCCTCAGGTGGCCGCAGGGACTCCCCAGGCTGGAGACAGAAACGGGAGCACAAACACGACCACAAGGTGTCCAACGCAATTCTTTATTGCCTTTGCAGGAGAAACTCCTGTTTCTTACCAAATACGTTATTTAGAGAGAAACATCCCACGGCTTCCCGGGAATGAGAGGATCAGTGCTACGGTCAACAAAAGATGTCCCTACAGTGTCAGCAGCTGCTGCCACCAGACAATGAAGTTTTAAGACTGATTTCAGTGGGCCCTGGCAGATGTATCAGAGTAGTGTACTCTGACACCCTTGAAAACTGCCCGTGTCAGAACTCAGGCATCCGTGCACCTCCACAATTACATTTTCAAGCCAGATTTGCTCCCTCCTCCTCCATGCCCAAGTGGGATGAACACAAACATACTGCTCAGAGGCACATGGTGCCCAGTGTTTGTAAGCCCTGATCTGAGAGCTTTTCTTTATTTGTAAGGACAGAACTCAAACATCTTTCTTACATGGCATCAGCCTGAGGGAATCTGTGTTACACTTGTGCATCTGCAGCACCTCATGTCAGTAAGTCTCAGCATTTTTTCCGTGATACAAAACATCTGCCGCAGGAGAACAAAAGGAAAGTTCCACAGCTGGAAGTAACTCCCTTCTATCCTCATGGTTTGTTCAGCTCAGCCTCTTCTTCGGACACCAAGTCCATTTCAACTTGAAAACAGGACAGTCCAAGCATTTCCTGCTGAGGCCAAGAATCAAGTCATTCTGCTTCCAGAAAGCACCAGTAGAGCTCCTTCAATTCCTCGTCCCCTTTGCAGCATTCCAGAACACACCAGGCTGGCAGAAGCTGGTCAGTGTCAGTCCCTGCTGCTCTGTCAGGAGATAGGTGAGCAGAGCAGCTCTTGATGGTTCTCCACAAACAGCGAGACCTTCAGGAGTGTATCTGAGTCAGAGAGAAAACAACAACCTCGTCAGCTTAAGGCATTTTACCTATAGTCTGTACACCCCTAAACCTATGCTGTTTCCAAAGGCAATAAAGAAAAGTGTAAGCAAAACTGACTGAGCAGTGAAATGGATCACTGAGCCCTTGTTACATTGTGAGGATGTTGCTTCCAGCTGTGCCCAGGTGTGATGGTGAGTACTTTCAACTGAAGCTGACCGAGACCTCACAGCAGATCACAAAGATCAACTGAGCAGGACGACCTGCTGCTGCCGAGCCCAGCACAGCCACCACGGCCAGGCCTGTATGCTGTCACCAGGGCAGGGACAAGACCACCGAGCCCCAGGAAAAGACCCTCAGGTCTGTGCACATGGAACTACCTTGAACAATGTCTTCCTTGTGGTGCTCCAAAATCCTCTCCCAGGACTGCAGGAGGGCTTCCATGTCTGCCAGGCTGTCACAGCTGAGGCGCTGCAGGAGCAGTTTGCTGTCCAGGTACCTTCGTGCCCGGTAAGGACAACAACGAGAGAGCACCCCCCCGGCGTTGCCCAGAGCCCCCTCAGCAGGATACAGGTGCCGGTAGTAGCGCTCCACGTCCTGCAGCCCCTCCAGCACGTCGGCCAGCGAGGGGCAGCGCGGCCCGCGCCGCAGGGCCCCCTCCGGCCCCAGCTCGGCCGCCCGCTCCTCGTACACCCGCAGCACGGCGCCCGCGGCGGCGCCCGCGGCGTCCCGCACCTCCCGGAGCTCCGCCCTGCGGGCACAGCGGGGTCAGCCGGGCCCGCGCCCCCCGCCCGCCCCGGCCCCGGCCCCGCCACCCCCTCACCGCCGCCCGCCGAGCTGCTCCAGCAGCGCCTCGGCCGCGCCGCGCTGCTTCCGCCACAGCCGCGCCCGCAGCTCCGGGAAGGCGCCGAGCGGCGCCGCGTCCCACGGCAGCCGCCGCGCCGCCCGCATCTGCGCTGCCAGCGCGCCCAGCGCGCCCAGCAGCGGGGCCCAGGCGGACAGGGCCGCTCGTCCCGCCGCGTCCGCCCGCGCCGCCGCCGCCGCCCAGCCCCGGAGCGCAGCCGCCACCGCCGCCATCGGGGCCACCGCCGCCATCACCCCGCCCGGCACCCGTACCCGTCATCGCTGCGCGCCGCGACACCATTGGCCGCTCGTGAGCCGCGGTTCGTTCGAACGCGCGGTCGCGCCCGCGCCCGAGACTGACGGAGGGAGCGACACCGAGCGAGTGATCGGCTCCGAGACACCGAACACCGAGCGGGGCCTCACCGAGACACCGACAGCGGCACCGGCATCCAGCGAGTGATCGGCACCGAGACACCGAGCGAGTGATCGGCTCTGAGACACCGAACACCGAGCGGGGCCTCACCGAGACACCCAGAGCGGCACCGGCATCGAACGAGCGACCGACCCCGAGGCACCGAGCGAGCGACCGGCCCCGCCATGGCTCCCGCGAGGAAGAAGGGCGACTCGAGCACCCGCAGCAGGAAGCTCGCGGCCTTCCTGAAGGATTTCGACTGCGAGGGTAGGAACGGGAACGGGAACGGGGCCGGGGGGAGGGAACGGTGTCGCCGGGGCTGACGCCGCGTGTCCCCGCAGTGAACCAGCGGCTGGAGCGGCTGCGGGCGGACGGGGAGCGGCTGGTGAAGGAGGTGGAGAAGCTGTACGACATGGAGATCCTGCGCCTGCCGCTGGAGCTGCGCCAGATGAACTGGCTCGAGTACTTCGGTAACTGGGCTGGCGCTCCCTCGGATGACAAACCCCGACGGGAATAAGGGACCAGCTGGGGTCTGCTGTGCGCGGAAATCCGGGAGCTGCTCCTGCTCTCTGAGGGTGAAAACTGGTTTGAGCTGGTTTTTGCACTCTCCTGAACTTGAACTGACTGGTCTGACATATTTTCTTTCTAGATAAAGAAGGAAGTGGAAAGGCACTGGAGGAGGTGGCCATGGTAGGTTTCCAGCAGAAACACACCAATGCAGGGGCTCCTTGGGCTGTAACGAGCTGTTCTGGCTGTAAAATAGTTAGAGGTTTGCTCTACAGAACTCTGTGTTGCCAACAATCCTAATAGTGTCACAACTGTTTTTAATTTTAGGCAGACTTGGAAATAGCAGAAATAGACAAGCGGACAGCAGAAGTTATCAATACTCAGTTTGAAATCGTCAAGAAAGGTCGGTTGGAGCACTGTGAGGCGACTGGGGAGGTGGAAGCATGTCATGGTTCCTTAATGTGAATAATAATTCAGTTCTTGCTCACATCCCTCAATACATTAAAAAAAAGAAAAATAATCCAGCTTTTATCCCTAGTGCCTGCAGTAGGTCTAATTTATTTTATAAAAACATTCAAGATAATTCAAAGTAGTGCTCTGTAACCATTGGGATTGCACTGGAATTTGGACTTTAGAAGCACATTTTTGCCAGAAGTGCTTGTAGTCGTTTGCTGTTTGGCTCTGCTGCTAACTAATAATTTAAAGTTATTATTTACTTAGATAACACTTTCTCTTTCTAGTGGAGAAATCCAAAAGGAGTGTTGAAGCCATCAAGGAGGAAGCAGAGCCTCTGTCACTTCCTCTGCCAAAGAAATCCAGAGTTGACAGCCAGTGTCCTTCAGAGGCAGAGGCTGAGAGTGTGAATCCAAGAACTGCAAAGGTAAATAGCTGTTCTGTGGGATGACTTTATCCCCAGGATATAAATTCCTGACTGAGCTGATGACTAGGGCTGTCCAGGATGCTCTGAGGGAGACTTCAAACAGCTTCCCTGAGAATTCTAACAATAGGGAAAGGTCACGAAGGCTTGAATGGTGTTTGTTCTGGGCTCCTGTGCCGTGAAAAGGAGACTGAGCATTTTGTGTGGAAGTATCTGTTTGTGTGGACTCAGCTGTCCCATGAGAGGGCAGTAGCTGATGTGGTGAGTGGTGTGTCCTTCAGGTGAAGGCGTCCACCAAAAAGCCGCCCGTGTCCAGAAGACCCCGGTCAGCGAGACTGAAGCGCATGAGCAAGAGGTAATGGGGATGTCTCTCTTTCATCTCCAGAAATGCAAACTGAGAGTGTAAATATATCTCTTTCATGGGATGGAGTTTGGTTCAGCAGGGGGTCGGGGAGTTGTGCCATGTTACAGTAAAAAATTGACAATCTGACAATGAATGAAAGATGGACAACTGCCTCTCCTGTGAGGACCAGCTGCCCCCAGCTTTTTAGGTCACTGATGAGTGAGAAACCCTGGGTTTTGTGGTGATTGCCTTGTTTAAGCCTTTGATAAGTGCTTCTACAATTTTTTAAAGGTCATCTTATGAGCAGATGTTTATTTCTATTTAACAGATCAAGCAAAAACAGCTTTATCACTCCAGCTACTGGGAGAATGGGTGATTTCTGTGCTCGGGGAGGTACCTCCATGATCACACCCAGATTTGATTCTAGGTTTGTATTCTGTCAGGTTTCTCTGTTGGTCTGTTAACAGAGAAAATAAATCTCTTTCCCTTCTATCTCTGTTATAATCTGTTATAAGCTGTTTGCTTTATGTCACCTGTTTCCCACACAATCTTTAGTGGCTCTTTGAACATGAAATGAAAGACTTTGACTAGAAGTGCTTTGAGCAAATACTGCTCACTAATAACTTGTTGTTTCAGGGTGTTCAAGACGCCGGGTTTGCGCACGCCCGCGCTCAACGAGCGCGTTTACACCATCTCTGCCAACGGCAGCCCCCTCGCCGACACCGGGGACGCCTTCCTGACCCTGCCCCTGGGTGGAGGGGAGGTAATTCCTGGCATTTCACCTGCAGGGGCTGGAGGGGTGTACAGGCGAGGCTGAAGCTTTGAACCTCTTGGTGCCTCACCAGCTTCAGTTCATCCGCTCGTCTCTTTAGCTGTGCCACTGCAGTTTATCAGAGGATTGATCAAGCTTAAAAAGAACCTTAGGAGACTCTTAGTCAGAAGTGGCAACTGCTTACACTGGTCAGAACAGAATAGAAGGATGTTTTGCTGTGCATTCAAGTAACACTTAAAGTAGCAGTAGTGGCAGTAATGCATTAATGCACTGCAAGGAGGATGTGAGTTGAGCTGTTGGTCAACCTCAATGTAGTTCTCTGCCTGTCTGTGGTCTCCTATTATGCTTAGATGTAATTCTATTTTTTATTTTTTTGCTGCTGCAGCTGACCAAAAGAAAACCTTTGTTTGTTTCCACAGAGCATACGTTTGACAGCAAAGGATTTGACCAAGAAGAATTTTCTTCAGCTGAACCCCAAGGCCCGGGGGCTCATGAAGAAGTTGTCAGTAAGTCTGGGTGTTTTTGGCAGCCATGACCTGAAGTTGTAAGGCAGTGCTGTCACTCTGTCATCAGTCAGGGGACTGCTGAGCTGCAGTAGAGACCTCTGATTCCCTGCCTGGCCTTGTCTTGTATTGTGGCTCATGTCAGAGGTGAAGAAGCAGCACAGAGCAGGGAAGGAGAGGGAGGGGCTTTACATCACGTCTGGCTGAATACACACTGGGGAAAAGAACTGTTGTCAGTGCTCTGGAAAACAGAGTGTTGTCTGTTGGGCCAGAGCTGTGGGTGTTTGGGCTGCACCACTGTCTGAGCACTGACTGATTGCTCTTCCCTTACAGGTTTGTCTCGCCCAGGCTTGCAGTGAGGCAAAGAAACCCGTGGATGGAAGTCACTGAGCGATGCCATCCCTCTGCAAATACGTGTTACATTTAGGACTGCTACCTTCGTTTAGTTCTTCTCATTTGTGTTCCTTTCATTAATTTACAGAATGAAAGCTAAGAGCTAGTTTTTCTATCTATAATATGTACTGTATGTAATGCAATCAAAATAAATTGCATTTTTTTTTTAATTTTTGAAGAAAAATCAGTCTTTATTTCCTTTAAGGCTGAGACCATGACACAGTTCTCTTGGGTTTGCAGACCAGCAAGTGGGCAGAAAGGTTGTTGATTGGCAAGTTAAGAGCAGTCAGAGCAAAGAACTTGGCTTCTCTAGCTCTGTTTAGTATTTTTTTTCTAAAAATTAGCCTGTTTCTTTGTTAGTTGGTGCACTGTCCTTTCCAAAGGTGCCTCTTTGTCCTTGATTTAAGCCTCTTTATAGGGCTATAAACAAGGATGTTGAGACTTTGGAACTTTTGCTGTGTTTGAAAAGTTCTGCTTTTGGCATGATTAAGAAGGGAGATGGGGACAAGCTGCAATCAGAGCTAGCTGAGGCCTTGGTGTGGCTCTTTGGTGCAGTGTGTGGTATAGGAGAAAGCTTGTAGAACAGCATTGATACATGCTTTGGAGATCCAAGATGTTACCGTAATGCAGACCTCAGCTATATACCATGGATTTGGAAATCTATTTAAGAAGTTTTGGCAGGTTCTAAGTCCTAACTGCAGGTGGCAATATAAACCACTCAGCTGCATGTACACCTGCCTTGCTGTCATGGAATTCTGTGAACATATTAATTAAAAGCACCAATTAGTTAAGCTAAATAAAAATTTTCCGCATTTACAGACGTGTAAGTCAAGATTCTGCTTTAAACACGTCTTTACCAGGGAAAAAAATTAAGCTAGATTGCTTAGCCTGCCCAGAGAATTTGCTCACCGAGTTGCAGTTACACTCCTGCATGTCTGGGGAAGAGGGTGCATGAGGGGACAGGGGGTGGGAGGTGTTCAGGCCATGACCGTGTGTGGGCTCTGCTCCCAGTGCCGCTGGAGCAGGGCTGTCCCTCCCAAGGGCTCCCCCAGGGAGCACCTGGAGCTGCAGCCACGGTTCCTGTTGGTAACAGAAACCACACTCCTGCGCTCCACGGCTGTGCCAGGGTCACACAGCCCTGCAGCCATCAGCCCAGAGCAGCTTTCCAGGGAAAACTCAATAGTTATGGGTCAATCTTCCCTATAAAGTACAAGCCCTGCTCATGGTGCACAGTTCAGGGCCACGCTGAGCAGGGCAGCACACGAGCTTCATACACAGTTTGAATTTAACTCCTTTGCTGGGGGGTAGTAACAGGGAATGGCAATAAGGTCTCAGGTGCTGTTGTGACCCCCTCCCTGAGTGGGGCTGGGGTCTGGCTACAGCCCCAGACTAAACACTGCCCTGGGGGAAAGCTCTGAGTCTGGTGCTGTTGGACGTTCCTGAAATAAAAAAAAAAAAAAATTAAAAAAATTGTGAATTTTCTTCCCACTTATCCCTGAAACGGTCTGAGAGCCCTGAGGCAGGATGGAGGGGTCGGTGAGCAATGGCAGCCTGCAGTTCAGGGTCTCTCCCCTCCCACCGTGTGACAGTCAGGGCTGCGGTGGGAGGGGGGCAGGAGCAGGGCTCTGCTTCAGCTGGAAAGCTTATCTCCCACGGAGGGTGACCTTGTGGTCCAGGAGCCTGGGAAGCTGGATCCTGATGGCACTTGATTGATGGGATCTGAGGAGTCGTTCTCCCTCAATGTCAGTCGGCTGCCTCTGCTGACTGCAAATGAAGGCTCGAGAAATGGGACAGTAATCGATGCCAGATGGGAGGTGCAGTTGGAAATGCCCCTGTCTGGAGCGTGCAGCCAGCGGGAGCCTCGGCCAGGACAGTGCTGAGGGCATGGCTCGAGCCCACTGAGATACTCCTGCTTTGTCTTTCTGTCCCCTTTGATTTCACCAGGGCTCAGGATGCAAAGATGTGCCAGCACAGCCCCAGCACTTTGGCTCAGCCTTGCTGTGCCCGGAGAGTGGACAAAGGGATCACAGACAGAAAAGGTCTTTTGGCTTCTGCTTTTCCACCTGTCACCTCCCAGAGCTTTTCAGAGTGGGGGACAGGGCAGCATCTTCCACCTGCCATGCTTGAACGGGCCCGTTCCATCCCGTCCCACGGCTTGAGGAGTGACTGTGGCTCCGCAGGGAGGGACCAGAGCTGCTCACAGGGCTCTGGGTGACAAATCACCGTGACATTGTTGAGGGGAGCACGTGCATGCAGTGATGGGGTTGTAATGAATTAAGTGCTGCTAGAATTGCTGCAGGACTGCTGTAAGGAATGTGCATGTGTTGTGAGGAGTAGGACACAGGTGTGATGGATATTGTCCATCAGCTGTGATAAAAAGCCTATCATCCCAATATATATTTTCAAAAACTAATTTAAGGCTGAAAGAGATTATTAAAAATGAGGAGAGGAAATTGTCTGGGATATATTTTAAGTCCCTTGCTAGGTAAGATGAATTCCAGAAGTCAAAATACTGCCTGTGGGGTGAAAGGAATCAATGCAGGTGTTGTGGTGGCTCATGATAAGAAGACAGGGCAATTCCACTGCCAGGGGAGAGCATCTGGGGAAGGACAGCCCTTGTCTGGAACTGGCGTGCTGGGGACCAGAAGGCTGAGCTGATCCCACGGCACAGGGACCATCCTGCAGCTGTCAGCCCTCCTCAAGAGAGTGGAGCACAGCACATCTCTGCCCTGAGCCCGGGGTCCACCTGGTCCCTTCCCACCTCGGTTCCCTTCCCGAGGCTGTGGCTGCTTTGCAGCTGGGCAGTGGAGACACGAGCTGGTGAAGGATCCTGGGGGTTCCCAGGGGAAGTAGCTTCTGCAAAATGACATTTACGAGCAGCCTTGCCTGGAGATGCTCGGGAGAGAAGCCCCCATACCTGGTGCTGGGTGGGCTCGGGCTCTGTTCCTCTGCATTTTATTCTCTGTCACTAAGAGGACACATGTCCCTGCACCCCAAGTGCTGTGCCAGCGTGGGTCTAAGGAGACAAACATGGCCAGCCTGCAACCTGCCATGCTCTGGACACCCGAAAATCTGAGTTTTGATCTTGGCTATTCCCTCACTCTTTCATTTATCTCTCTGTGCTGTTCTCGATGACAAGATCATTAGAAACCCGGTTGCTGTTGCTGAGCTCTTCCTCCTGAGCCGTGTGTAACCACGGACGATGTCTGCAAGACAAGAGGCTTAATTGTGTTCTGCCAGCATCGAGGGGCTGTCAGCCAGGCAAATTTAAAGCCAGGCTGGATGGGGGTGGGAGATGCACCTCCATTACTCACCAGCCTGGATGAGGTTTAGCTTTATTGTATCCGAAAATAACCAGAGCCTGGGAGGTGCTGATTGAAGCCATTTGAAAACACGACAACACCGGGACGAGAGGTGTCTAATCTGATGAAGCCAGAGTGCATTAGGTAAGAGCTGTGCAAAGCGAGGAAAACACAATTAAAGCATTCCTGAGGACAGCTGTCGACCTGCATCAGGGACAGTGGGGCTGAGACGTGGGCACGTGTCTGATGAAAACAAATAATCTGTTTGAAACACTCCTCAATAACAGAGCCCCAGCCACTGCTGGGCTCAGCCTCGGAGGGTCCCACCAGCCACAAGCTGGTGCAGGCCCATGCCTATGTGGGGTTCCTCAGGCAGGGCTGGTGGCACCTGCCTGTGCAGCACTGGGGGCATGGCAGGGTTTTGTCTTTGCAGGAAAACAGCCCAGGAGCAAGTCAGTGCCTCATTCCCCAGTGATGGAATAAGGAAGCTGCTGGGATGTGCCCGTGCATGGCACATCAGGGCTTTTCCCAGACAAACGCCCTTCCTGAGGCTGCCAGACTGACACCTTTCTCACAGTGTGTTGACCAGGCAGCATCCCTTCCCTCCATGCAGAATTTTGTAAGTTTTTGTCTCTAAATAACCCCTTAGAACCCTTCAGGCTGGTGAGGTGCCGGGGCCAGTGCTCTGGCCAGGGCAGGCAGCAGTCTCCCTGTGTCACCACTGTGGTGTCGGGGAAGTGGAAATGGAGGAAATGCTCCTTTTCCTTCAGTGCTCAGAGTGGCTTGTGCTTTGTGCTCTCTCTTCCCAAATCTGCTGTAGAGGAGCTGCATTAAGGGTCTGGGTTTCCTGTTGCACATTTGGACAGAGACACCTTCCGCTCTCCCTTTAGACTCCTGCTGTTATAAATAGTGATTAAACCCACACACTTCTGTAAATCGCTGGCAAAAGGAACTTGTATCAAATCATGCTTCTTTGGCAAGAGTTTAAATTGACAGTGACAAGCTTATTTCTAGAAGAAGGTTCTATTTTGGGGAGCTTGATTCATTGTGCCACTTGGCAGTTCTGATGCAGTGTGATGTGATACCTGACACATCCTGTTCTCTGCGAGGCAAAGCAGGGATTTATGCATTGCTGTGAGACAGAGCCACCCGGCTCTCATCAGGTGAGACAACACTGTTAGCAATGATTTTAACAGGCTCAGGGCAACTCTTATCCTTTTGGAGGTCCCTGAGCCTGTTTTTCCCTGGGGATGTACAGCATTCCTGATGTACATTCCATTACCCTGAGAACCTCTATTTACAGTCACAAACCACCATTTATCCAACACACAATTGCCATCACCCAGGAGCACCTAAATCTCACAAAAAGCCTTTTAATTGCCTTGTTAATCTCTTTGTCTCCTGGCATTTAATAGAATTCACTTAAAAATATTTCACAGCATAAACCCCCAGGGCTGAGTGCCATCCCTACAGCTGCCTGGAGGGACAGCCCCACCACCTCCATGCCTGGGACACTGGGAGCGTGTGGCTCCACTGTCCTCTCATCCTGGCTGCTGCCCCACTGCTGCCCCATCCCACCTGAGCACTCCGTTTAGCCCCCAGTGAACAGAGATGCCACATTCCCCTGGGAACTTGTCAATGGGGAACAAACTTCATTGTGAAGAAGGGACTTGCAAGAAAAACCTGAATTACCCAGTCCTACCAGAAGTGCCCATTTGCAGGGCACTCTGTAAACAGTTGTGCAACAGTCCTCCTGGCCTGACTGACTTGACAGCCTGGTCTGCCAACAGATCACAGCTCATTAAAATGGCCTTTTAATTACTGACATCCTCAAAGCCAGACACCATCCTGAAAAAAAGGGTTGTGGGGGCAGGTGCCTGGGGAGAACACCCTGTAAGTGCTCTTCATTGTAATAGAAACTCCAGAAACCTCGGAACAACTTCCCATCTCTCCTCTTTTCCCTTTGCCTCTGCTGTTGGGGCTCCAGAGGTGGTAGGAAAAGGGCAGCTCCTGCTTCCCCAGTGATGGCCAAGCCCATGCCACAGCAGTGGCTCTGGGACCAGTACAGACCTGCTGACAAAGCACAGCTCCTCTGCTTTTGTCTGTGCCCCTTCAGGGGTGGCAGCTGCCCAGGAGCGGCCGCTGTGCCGAGCGATAACGGCAGCTCTTTGTTTGATGCTGAAGGTGCTTGTCAGCCTCAGCGAGATAAAAAGGCCAAAGACATTTATAATTGTGCAATTAAATGTCTCCTGTGCCTTCCAGGTGGCTGTTGCTGCTGTGCAGATGTCCCTGCTGTCAGCAGGCAGCCACGAATGGAGAGGCAACTGCAGTCACCCATGGCAAGGCTGGTGGGTGCTGCTGGATTGCACCCAGCCCTGTGCCAGTGTCTCACAGCACCGTGCCAGGGTCACCCAGCCCTGCACCAAGGCTGCCTCAACTGGGATGTGCCACAAACCCCAGCACTTGTCTCACCCCTGGCATCCCTCAACAGCTGGCACAAGTGCACTCACCTTGTCCCTGGTCGAGGTGGGGCACGGCACCGAGGCAGCCTGGGGGGCACTGGGAGCCCATCCTTTGTGAGGCAGGAGGAGCTGAGGGGTCTGGCCTGGGGGGCAGTGGGAGCCCATCCTTTGTGAGGCAGGAGGAGCTGAGGGGTCTGGCCGTGTTGCAGCCTGGGCAGGGCTCTTCAGGCACACCGAGACTGTAGGAGGTGAATACGAGGAGGAAAGAAGGATCTGTCCTGGTAACACTTGAACTGAGAGATCCCTGATTACGATGATAGATGGCACCTGCTTTTCCTGATAATTAGCAGTCATTGGTATTCAAACCTTGCTCTTCCTCCAGAGCCAGGCTCTTTTAACATTCCCTGGGCAGGGGGACACATGCCAGGAAGGCCAGGCTTGTCTGACCCCAGCATGCTGCTGTCAGGGCTGCAGTGGCTCGTCCTGGCCTCACCAGCCATCACAGCAGAGACAGAGCTGTGCAGCCTCGCTGCTGGGAATGTCCAGAAGAGGAGCAGGGAAAATGATGGATTTTGTGTCTGAGGCTGGTGAGTGGGAGTGAGGGGTAAGAGGAGAAGCCCTGGCTCCTCCTTTGCCCTCCCCAAAACATGGAGCCACTGGTGGGGCTGACCAAACACTGTGGCAAATGCTCTCATCAGCACCATGCAATGAAAGTTTTATTTTAAAAAATCCTCCATATGAGCAGCATCTGCCAAGTGCTGAGGCCATCCCTGACTGAGCACTGCTGCACCTTGGGGTTCCCTGGCTGAGCCATAACAGTTCATTGATCCCCACTTGTCACCAGAGCTGCGTCCTCTGGTACAGCGTGGGGATGAGTGGGGTGCACGGGGTGCAAGGCTGGTGCAGGGCTGGCACAGGGGGGTGCCAGGAAGGTCACAGAAGAGACACAAACCCATTGCCACAGCCCACAGGAGGCACAGCTGCCAATAACTGGGTAAAATCTGCCTCTGCTTGGCTGTGACTGAGAATTTGCTGTTCGTCACCCTGCTCCAGAGCTCTAATTATTTCTTTATAGTGCCAGTACAGCCCTGGCCAGGCTCCGAGCTGAGGCTGCCTGAATTAATTGACCAACAGAAGGCAAATAGACTTTGCCCATTCTAAGCACCCATTCAGTCCTTTCCCAGCAGCTGTCACTGCTGTCACTGCACCAACCAGGGCTCCCGTGCCTGTTCCTTGGCATTGAGCAGCCTGGGAAAAAGAAAGAGATGTGAACGAGTGAGAGTCGCATCAAATAATTTCTAAATAACATTGTGCAGAGTTTGCATTTCAGGAGCTGGCCACACACAGTTCTCATTTACTCAATTGAACAATTAATTACATGGTTTGTGCACGGGAACTCTGCAGCATTTTCCCCTTGCTCAGCAGCATCCCCACACTCACACACCAGCTCCTGTATCAGACTGACCATTGCACTTGAACTGACAGCTCCACACTGCAAGCACTTCCATGGTTATCTGGTCCTTGGGATGATGGGAGGGATTCCCACCTGCCCAAACAGCATCTGGCCCCACAGGCCAGGCCATGCACCTTTCTGTCCACACAACACACACCAGCAAAGCAAAGTAGATGTTTTTGTCCCCACTATGAACTGTCAATAGCAAGAAATCACCCCCTCTAGCCACTCTACAGCTGGAGCACAGGCTCCCACCTTGGCATACACATTATTTAACAAAACAACATCACACCTAGCTGCTATTAAAACTGTCCCTTACCTGCCACCTGCCACCCTTGCTAAAGTGGCACTTCCCCCCAGAACACTGAAATGACCCACACAGACAAGCCAGGGCAGGATTAGTGGTTGGTTTTACTCAGGTATTTAGATATCTTTTTATTGCCATCTTCAGTCATGGTTCAATAAATACAAAATTAACAAAAATGTCAATAGATTTTTATTACATTTATTATTGTTGTTATTATTATTATTATTAAATATTCCAAACCAACTGAGATTCCCTGGAGATGTCTGACTATAGTTCAAACATGAGATGCACACAGTGTCTCTTGTGATATTATATTACATTTATCTCAAGCTTATAAAAATATATATTGACTTCTTGAGTGTGTATTTACAGTATTTAACAGGTGGCTAATGAATATAAAAGCATCTGGAATGAACCAACTTGATTCCTGTTTGGTTTCATGTGAGGGGGGTGTTGCAGGTGCTGCTCCCACAGTACTGGGACTCCCCCAGCCCAGGGAGGAGGCAGGAGCCTCGTGCTGTGCTAGAGGCTGGATGGGAAGAGACCAGAATCATTTTGAGGCATTTCCCTTGGTTGAGCAGCTCCAAAACAGCATTGCTAATTAATTTAATTATACCACTTCCCCAAGGAGAGGGTCTGAGAGGATGCAAGTTAATTTTAAAATCATAACAACAATCTATAGTCTAATCTACTCATTTTGTTATTCCACGTTGGTGAGGAGCTCAATTAAAAGTGTTTATTGTTGCAAGAAACTGGGCTAGGAGCATGTTTCCATTGTGGGCTTTCCTTTCCTTTCTTGAAGGAGAGGCTGGGAAAGCCAACGACTCACGTTCCTGCCGAGTTCCAGCCCATCCCAGAACTCCTCTCCTGTGGGACCCCTGCCCACACAGTCATGGCTGTTTCCCACAGGACCCACGGCCCCCAGCCAACCACCAGCCACTGCAGCCCAGGGAAAAGGCCATGACTATAGATAACTGTGCTGAGGTCTATCTCTTTTCAGCTGGGCAGCATCTGTAGGGACAGAGGAGCAGGTCCCAGCAGCTCTGAGCGCAGCCACGGGTGGCATCCACAGCTGGCCCCTCCTTGCATCCCTAACTCTGGAGACAGTGTCTGTCCTGGGGGGTTTGAGGGCACACATCACTGCCTGCTCATGGCCAGATCTGTTGCCCAGACTGAGGCACTATCACCTCATCACCAAGTCCTGCCTGTCCCCAAGCCTCCTGGACAGCAGCTGCACCAGCCTGGAGCCAGCTCCTCCAGCAGCCACTTCCCAGGGTAGCTCCTGCATCCCAACGGACAGGATGAGCAGGGAGAGGGGGAGAAGACCTGGAATCAAACTGGTTCAACCCCCTGCCTAGAGACCTGTAATATACTTTCTCTATAGATAAAATGTAAACATGAAGAACACATAAATTGCACTTGATCCTTAGGATTGGGCATTTCACCAAATGCAGGGCTCAGTTCACTGCTCTTCCTCTTCGGGGTGGAAAACAGTGGGATGGCAAGTGACCAACCTGACTGGACATGGGCCAGACTTAATTTATTTCTGCTAAAACCTCTAACCAAGAGACATTAGGGAGTGTTGTTTGAACTACAGAGGGGGTGGGAAGGAGAGAGCTTGTTTTGCTCACAGTGTGTGCGGGCAGAGCGATCACTGTGCTGGACCCAAGGGCTGCCTCAGGGCCCTTCACTCAATCCTCATTCAGATCCCCATCCTCTGGGAGCAGGCTAACAGGAAGGTCTGACTGGAGCAGATTTCCAGCCTCACTGTGAGCATCTCCCACAGCCTTCATCCCCTTTGTAAATCTTTGCCTTTCAGCATTAATAATTCACTTGCAATACTTACGGATGATAATAAATGCCCTACAAAACTCCGTACAGGGCTGCAAAGACACATCTAATGAACTAACTTCAAGGAAATTGTATTATTAAGGAGATGCTATTTATGTCTTCGTCAGGGATCAGGCTGCAGCCATGGGAGCTGCCAGCGTGCCAGGCAGGCAGCACTGTGCTCACAAAACAAAGTGTGGATGTGCCCTAGACTACCTGATGTGCCCTGGATTGCTTGGATGCAGCACCATTTGCTCTGCTCTTTACCAGAGACACCAACTGAGGTGTCAGACACTCAGTGAAGTAACTCTCAGAGAAGAAGGGACGTGGCTGGAAAAGACTTTCCTTCAGCACAGATGGGGAAAGTCACCTCCCAGGAGCTGGGTGAGAGCTGTGCTCTGCTCTCCAAAAATAAAAGCAGTAAAAGCTCCTTGTGGGGTTGCTGGGATCTGTCAGGTTGTATAAAAGTATCCATGGATTCACCAGCAGAATGCTAGATACAGAAACATCAGCTCTGGATTAAGACAGTGCACAAAAGTCCATCCCACCCTATGAACTCAATTACCACCTAAAACGGCATCACTACAGTTTGACTCATCTTACGAAACAGTGCCAGGGAAAGCCACACCCACCCAGGCACACCACATTATCCCAGGAATCCTGGGCTGCCCTGGCTCAGGGGATGGAAGCCCTGCTCTCTTGCTACATGGAATGACATATTTGGCAGCACCCCGATATTCCCACAGCCCACCTGAGACCACCAGGTTTCACAGACAGGGCTGGCTGGGGCCAGTGGGCATCTCCTCCCCAGGAGTGCCAGGCTGGTGCTCTGCACCTTTGCAGGGCACTGCTTCACACCTGCACCCCTCGGCCGTGCATCCGGATCACCTGGGCCCGGAGGGTCTGGATCCCACTCAGGATGGTCTTCTGGTGCTCCACCAGCGTGATCCCCAGGCTGAGGATGTCTCTGCAAAATGAGCCCCACGTCAGCCAGGACAAACCAGCCCTGACTGCCACGTGCCCCGACACCGACTGCTCCCAGGCAAGGGCAGCACAGATTCCAGACATGCAGGAGTAAGAAATCCCCAACCTTTCGTCCCAGCTGAAGCAATACTGACACTGAGCAGGAATCCCGGGCTCACAGGAGCCTGTAGCACGCCAAGCGTGGGACAGCTCCAACCCCGCCACCCTGTGCTGTGGCACAACAGCTTATCAGTAAATCACACTGGAGTGGGCTCTGCTCTCTGGCAGGGGAAGGAAACACTGATCTCGCTGCGCCCACAACACGAGGTTACAGCCAGGAAACAAGGTCACTTACTGGGCTGTCATCCTGGCCACTGACTCCAGGTAGCAGTAGCCCGCAGCAGTGAAGTTGTCTTTGTACCTGCCCATTTCTATCGTTTCCAGCCACTCGCCTACAGAGCTGAAAGATGGGAAGGCTGAGAAGGTTCGCTCGGAGAAGGGGATGGATGTGCCATGGGACCTGCCAACAGAGCAGGTGATGAGGAGGGAGTGGGGCACGGCACAGCAGTGG